ACATTATTCATGGATATTTTTGTGTATTCGGTTCCTCTCCTCTACTACACTGCTACCTTGTAAAACCTGATTTTCTTACAAATATCAAAGTCAGGGTAGCTTTTGAGAGTTATATTTGTCCCATATAAGAATATTTTCGGTACATCTATGGAGACTAGTGCTGTCATAAAGCTTAATTTAATTTCTCCAATTCTGTCTGCATAATTTCATTGTCCCATTCATAAATTCCGTCTTGCTGAGCTGCGCCGCCAATTTCTCACCGTAGCACGTCCCAGTTCTATTCAATGTTTCACTCATAGTGCAATCGGAGTCCTGGTTGATGCAACTAGGACGAGGCCCGACTGAACGGCGATACCCACCCTCAGCAGGTTATCTGAGGCCTTACCTACAAAAGCTGATAGTCGTAAATGGTCGACCTGCTAGACAGACCCGCTAAGCTTATTCAACTCTTTTATACCTGCAGTGTTAATATATGAGAACATCGTATTAGATCTTGCCTAAGGGGGTCTCCACGGACAAAGCAAACTTTGTGATGGAACGTTTCGTGGTAGGTAGTAACTAGGAACATATTGTTCCTGAAAACAGACTGTACACAAACTTGTTTCCTAAATGTCAACAGCTGTCAGAATTTAAGATCACTCCTATAGAGGGTTCCCTATAAAATGTTCTACTCAAGACTACCCCTCTCCGGTTCCCCAGGGCCTATTTCCATGAAAGGTATGGTGTTAGAGTCACAAATAGATTTGCTTGTATCATAATACCTATATGAAATATTGTTCTCTATGAAAGTCCCAAATATTATTTGCTAATACTATATTTACTAGTTTTAGTATTTTTCTTGCTATTTCAAATCAATTTACTATAAGGTACACTCGTTTGATAGAACTGCATAGGATATGCTTCTTACTACTATTCGTCATTTGTTTGTATAGGCAGTCCGTAGGAGGAAACACCTAGGCTTTTTGACTTGGTACACGGATTAATTTTGAGATGAACTAAACAAATTTTGATTCGGTGTTGTGAGAGTGTAATTCGAAATTTACTAAAAGTTCGCGCTAATTTTTGATTACAGTGCGAGCCGTGGCCTTGGATGTTTACGAACTTGCTCCACTGAGTAGTCCACTGAGTGGCGCAACAGAGAGTTGCTGTGCGATTCCGCTTAACTATAACGTCGCTGTGCCTGAAGCTTGACATAATCAAGTAAGGAATATCAAGGCATCTGTGTAGTGCCTCGTTCTACTTTGCAGTACTTGAAGACTTTTCATGTGTGTTGGAGAGAAAACACAAAGCCGCACATGCATAAGTATTGGCTGGTCTAATAATAATTTTGTATACGCGAACTTTGTTTATCAAACTCAATTTTAACAAAGGATATAGTTGCCGAAACGCAATTTGGAATTTTGTTTTCAAGGCTGCTGTATGTTTCTGCCAGGTCATGCCTTTGTCAAAGGTGACACCGAGGTACTTGGCAGAATTCGTCCATGGTACACGATTGCCGTCTACAGAAACCTCTGCTCTGAGGAGGACACGCTTCTTGTTACAGGTTGAAGGGCCAAGTGATTGTAGCAACAACCAGAGAGAGCAAATGATGATTAAAAGGCCTAGATTTTCTATACTAGTAATTTTAATATTCAACGAATGCTTACACACCAAATATTTATAAATATACTAAGTGACATATAAATCCGAACACCCAGTTTAAATGGTTTTATTTTAATAAAAGTTGGTGAATGTATTTATCTTACTGTAAATAACAAGTGAAAAAATTTTCAGCCTTATCAGTTGGACATTCCGGTTTTTATACTGCTTTTTTTTAATTCTCTAACGCTCTAAAAATGAATATTTCAGCTGCAGTAAAGAATCAACGTTGGCGGATTTTGGTTCTTGACATCCTTTACGATCGGTTACGATGCCTAGAGTACGGAGACCTGTACGATTTCGTCAACTTAGTGAGTTTGATAGGGGCCGTATAGTGGGACTTCGGGAAGCTGGACTTTCTTTTCGGGCAATTGCAGTTAGAGTGCAAAGAATTGTAGACACTGTGGTTAGGTGTTGTCAGGCATGGCTTCGAGAAGGCCGTACGCAAAGAGCAAGGGGCACTGTACGCAGCCGTAGAACAGACCGTGAAGATCGCCGCCTAAGATTATTTTCCTTAAGGGACCGTTTCTCCACTACCAGGTCCATTGCAAAACACGGAAGACCTATTGGCATGCGAAGTGTTTACCGACGAATGAGAAGTTTTGGCTTGTTTTCATACCGGCCACACTGGGTCCTCCCTTTAACTCGAGAACACCGACGTAATGGCCTTGAGTGGTGCAGACAACGGTCACTCTGGAATCAGGAATGGAACAGTATTATCTTTAGTGACGAGTCTCGATTTTGTTTAGGCATGCACGATGGTCGTGCCAGGGTTAGAAGGCGACGTGGTGAAAGGAGGAATCCACAGTTTTTTGTTGAAAGACATGTTCATCATACTGTTGGATTTATGGTTTGGGGTGCTATAGCTTATGGTTCCACGTCACCTTTAATCTTTATCAGAGGTAACATGAACGCGCAGCGTTATATCCACGAAGTTCTAGAACCCCATCTTTTACCCTATCTTGACACCCTGGCAGATCCAACTTTCCAACAAGATAATGCCCGACCACATGTTGCAAGAGTCACAATAGACTTCTTTCAACATAATTATGTCACATTGTTACCATGGCCACCAAGATGTCCCGACTTATCCCCAATTGAGCACGTGTGGGATATGATGGGTAGGAGATTGCTCAATTTGCAACGTCCTCCTCAGACTCTAGAAGCACTTCGAGAGGAGTTGGTGGTTGCCTGGAATGAGATACCACAGGAGGACATTGACCACCTGATCAGAAGCATGCCTAGGCGCGTTTGAGAATGCGTAGCACATCAGGGTGCATCCACACATTATTAAAGGTCAAAGGGCTTTAAAGCAGTGCAATCATTTTGATTTTTTGATCATTTACTTATTATGCTCCATTAAGTACTTATGCAAAATTTTATTAAAATAAAACCATTTAAACTGGGTGTTCGGATTTATATGTCACTTAGTATAACTCAGCAAGAAATCAGCGAACACAAAACTCATACGAGTAAATCAGTTTCCAATACTTTTTATCTGATTTAATAAAATCAGTGTGGTTTAATTCATTATTTTCTTTAAAAGTATATATTTCAAATAATAATTCTCTGTCTTAAATTACAACTTAAGATATCACATTTACAGATTTGCTTACAACCTTATCAATACACAAAAAGTGCTATTGATCCAAGAGCAGCAGTTTCTATGAAATTATGATATTGATTCGAGATCAGATACTTTAAATGAGGTAATTTATTTTTATACTCCAACTACCACGAAGGCTTAAGGCCTAAACACCCATTGGGTACCGTGGGGCTATGGGGGATACAGGAGAAAGGGGGAACGCCACACGGACTCTGGCGAGGGAACACGTGTGCATGCAACATGCACACATTCTGTCTCCGCCTACGAGATCCGCCGGGTGGTACCTCCGCGTTCGACAGTCAGAGACCGTCTGCCACCATCTTGGAACGGTATTCGAACCCGCACAGCGCACGGCGACTGATCAGGAGACCGAAGAGTCTACTACTGCGGCCACCGCTCCTGCCTAATATCAATAATAATTTCGTTCTTTTAAAGGAACGTATCTCTTACAATTGAGAAATTGAGCTTAATTCAAAGATATATGTCTTAGAAACGTATCGAAGTCACGATACTCAATTGAAGATAGTTGTTTTTAAATCACTGTTTTTTGTGTGAAATCCGCTACAGTATTTGGACTATAGAACCACTTTCTGAGAGAAGTTTTAATCTCTAAATTGCTAATCTTTGAATGAAGTCGTCTAACTAAGTATCATATTCAATGTATGGACGATAAAGGGCTTTTTCCAAATTTATACAGAATATGGCGTCAAGTAGGTTGACTCTGCACTCCACATGAGGGGTGCCATCTGTTCATAGATTATGTTTGGCACAAGTTATCTCATCTGATAACAAAGCTACACGTATTTATAACAAAGTTTCGTGCGTCAAGTCAGTCAAAGAGGTCCATGTAATTAGTTCAAAGTTCTCAGACACTACCAACCATCTGGCAACGTTGCTTTGACTAACCACTGCATCCTCCAATCCCCCAGTCATTTGACCGATCGGTCATTTGTTGAAGCAGGTGCATGTAATTGAAAATATGTCTGTACCATTTGACAAGTCTTAAGGGCAAATATATAGGCGAAACAATTGAATAGAATTACATGGGTTGGAGGAGTACAAATCTACAGACGCCAAAAATTTCAGATATACCATCCTTATCCACAACTCGCAAAAGTTTTTCTGAAAATGATCAGAAACCGATGAAACTTTAAGAAACGAAGTTTGAGTGATCTTTTTTTATTCTTTGACCCTAGCTTCGATGCCCCTGGATCGAGTTTATGAAACTACAAGGCTTTTTCGTCATTGGCGTAGTAGTAATGTTGTGTGAAAATTTCATCAGACTCCGAGCGGGACTTTCCAAGTTATAGCGGCCAAAGATGAGGGGACAGACCGATGAAAATAGTGTTTTGTGATGTATATGTCGTATGACTTCAAAAAGCAACATATTTCAACCTCAAATTTTTTTGCGATTACAGTACCCCCTCACCAGTAGCATGGAAAAGGGAAACGCTGCTATGGAGTTATGCGGAAAGTTGTTACCGGACAGACAATCTTACTTTATTACTTTACTAATAAAAATTTTTAAGATATGTTATTTTAACATGAGTGTATTTCTAGTCTGGTAATTTCATGATGGCGTTTCTTACAACTACGGGTAAATACAATGTATTGGATATGGTTTAGATCATCTAGCCTTAGCGAGATGAACTTCGCAACAGTTGCGGTACTTCGGAATGTATGCTCTGCCTTCGCAGCTGTTTCAATTTATATCTCAAAAAAGAATAGTATGTAATATCAACAAATTACAACTTACCCCTTTAACTTGAGAATGCAGCACCTTGGGAAAGATCACAAAACCGAACAAAATCATGAAAATCAGCGCGCTCAGCGAACCGATCGCAAGTTTGGTGGCCAACTGCATTTCGCAGCTTTTAGTCTTCACCAAAGTATTCTTAAGAGTACCCCCGAGATGATTCAGCTCCTGCACAGTCTTATGAGCCTTATTCAGATTCTGCCGAGTCTTTTTCACCTTCTTAGCGCCTTGGTAAACTTTCCTAACGGTGGATAAAAACTTGAATTGGGGGAAAACAGAAAACAACAACCCTTTCGCGATGCCGGTAGGTTTCATCAACTATTTGCCCATCGGTGGATCTGGGATATACTGAGGACGTCCCATTGCGATGACATCCCACAAATTGCATCGGTGGTGGGGATAATAATCAGTTGAATGAAATATTGGATTTTGCTCTCTTAATGTTTATTTATTAATTCGTGTATCCACGAAGTCGTAGCTTTCGCTGGATAACGCGAGGCGGCACGCGGACTGCTTGATGTAGGACTGATGAGCTGCTGCTAGGCTGTAATTGGGCTCGTGCATTCTCTCCCACACTAATCGTATTCAAGGTAAATGATGAGAACACCTATTCTTATTATACGTAATATACAGTGTGTTTCACAGGGAGAGGGAAATGTTTTAACCATGCATAGAGGCATCTGTGGGGATTATAAATTATGAGTCCTCAGTCTCCAAGGACCGATTTTACTATTGACAGTCGGGAATCAAAATTTGCATCGTTGGCACAAATTTGGTCAATATCTTTTAAGAAATTACACGTTTTGTGTAACTTGGGTTCGTAATTCTCATATTACATCAAGAAATACTTCATATTCAATTGACTTGACAAGCTTAGCATCTATAATCAGTCATATTGGTTCCAATGCATCTGGTAATGACGGACTTACGTTGCGAATGTTAAAATTAAGCTATCCCGCTATAAATCTTTATTTGTTGCATATTATCAATCTATGCTTAGAGAGAGGCTATTTTCCAAGCGCGTGGAAAACAGCAATGGTAAGACCACTCGCTAAAACCTCGAATCCTTTGTTATTTGACGACCTACGACCGATAAGTCTTTTGCCTCTTCTGTCCAAAATACTGGAACGCACAGCTTATATATAAATGTCATTACTATGGCTTTGATGATCTTGCTTGTAAGCTCATCAAGTCATATTTAAGTGATCGGTCGCAAGTGGCTGTGGTTCGGAGTACCTCAAGGCTCCGTATTAGCTCCATTGCCTATTTTGTTATACACCGCGGATCTTCAAGATACTGTCAAGCACTGTCATGTGCAATTCTTTGCCGATGACACTCAGGTAAAGTATGATTTTCCAGTCTCACGCTACTCTGAAGCCCAAGACCAAATCAATGAAGATTTGTCAAGTATTAGCCGCTATTGCAAGTTACATAACCTCAAGCTCAACCCATCGAAGTGTAAAGCCTTGCTATTTGGTAATATCAAAATAAGAGCAAATCTTATAAGCAAAATTGACGTTCAAATCGAAGGAAAAATCATCCCTTATTGAGAATGTGCCAAAAATTTGGGCTTACATTTAGATGAAGACCTGAGGTTTGAAAAACACATACAGCACGTTTTGAGGCAATGTTACCGTTCGCTCCGGCTTCTATTTGCAAACAGTTGCATCACTGGTAAGCAATTGAAAAAACAGCTATGTGAAAGCTTGGTATTGTCTAAGATTTCGTATGGGCTAATAATTTATTACCCCTGCCTAACTGCTGCGAATAAAAGACGTCTACAGATAATGCAAAATACTTGTAGTAGGTACATAAATAATTTGAGGAAATTTGATCATATATCGCATACGTATTCTGACCTCAATTGGTTTACTATAGATAATCTATACAAATATTCTGTTATAAGTTCTGTACATCATATTTTATTATCCGCATCACCCCCATACCTGTTTGAAAAATTTATTACCAGCTCCAGCACGCATAATATTAACACAAGGCATCAGACTTTCTTTATACTGCCAGTCCACCGTAGTGTTTTATATTCAAGAACCTTTATTTACAATGCCGTTAGATATTACAACAGTATTAATTTTCATTTTAAAAATATTGCGAATATTAAAACTTTTAAATTAAAATTGAAGTCCGATCTTCTCTCGCAAGCATGAACTGCCACTTATATTTTTTTTATTGGTTAATGATGGTTGATTTTAAAAAAAATCCCTTTGATCACAGTTTTGTTGGTTTAAAACAAACCGATTTAAATGTATGTACCATAGTTCATGTCATCCATTTCTATGTAAATTCGTATAAATTATCAAAACGGGGTTAGGTGGAAGAATAGCTCACGCTAAACCTCGCCCCTCGTAATGTACTAAATGTTTAGTGCAATAAAGACCCTTTATTATTATTATTATTATATATCATAATGATTCAGCTACAAGGACCTGTTTTTCATTGAAGCAAATTCCATCAACATAAAAAATTTGTGGCCTACACGAAGCATGGATGAAACCGCTCGAATTTTGATGAAACACACAAGGGAGCTACTATGCCAAGGACGAAAAAGCTTTGCAGCTTTTAAACTTCGTTCCAGTGGCAACAGAGAAAAAAACCAAAATCCAAAAAAATAAAAATCGCTCAAACTTGATTTTTTGACGTTCGAGGTGGTCCTTTTCAGAGAAATTGTAGGTCCTGAAATTCGGGGGCTGAGGATTCAATGATGCCGCGCAGATGTGGAAAGGGACAACGTTGCCAGATGTACAGTAACTACCTCAGAGGTGTTACTTAACTTGATAAGTTGAACTTAATCCTTTGTGAACTGATGACTGCAGTGAGGTCTAAATTGACGGGATACTGTGCAGATATATAACTATATTGCATAGTTCTTTACGGAACATGGTTGCTTTGGAAACTAAACAATAATATGGAGAATAGGATAATCCTGAGTATCTTCCAGGCATGTAGTCGCCGAAAAATATGATTGATATCTAGCCAGTAGAGAGTCGAGTGATGCTGAGCAAGGTAGTGTCGAGAAAAGCAGAGAGAGCAGCTTTCCCATTCTGCTGAGCATTCACATACATAAATATTTGTACATACATAATGTGTGATTTTTTTGCTAGGATCTTTTTGGCAACACTGGTTTTGACAGATGACGCGTGAATCGTGTCTTGTGTCATTGTCAAACTTGTTCAGTTTGGTCTATAATTTAACCATGAATCGACTCACGAACGAACAACGCTTGCAAATTATTGAATTTTACTATCAAAATTCATGCTCGGTTAAGAGAGTGCATCGAGCACTGCTTCCAATTTATGGGCAATTTGGTCGGCCTACTGACGGAGCTATTCGGAAGCTTGTGACTAAATTTCGAACCCTGTTTACATTATTGGACATTAAACCACCAAAACGCAGACGTAGAGTGAGGACTGAAGAATATTGCGGCTGTATCCGCCAGTGTTATCAGCACAATAGTCGTCCTTATTGTAGGGCGCGTTTATGGCCTCCTTAAAAAATTTCTAGATTACACTTGTCCCGTGTCAGCGTCAGCGCTCCCTTATTGTGAAGATATGTTTTCTTTTTAAGTTGTAGGAAATTTCAGGCTGATAAAACATGATATAACTCAAAAGCAAGCACAATTTGATGCAAATAGATGTTTGTGACATAACCTCAAAATAGAGTTCTGACACGGAGAAGCAGAAAACTATGACAATCAAGGAGGCCATAAAGGCGCCCTACAATTGTAGGGACGACTGACGATACGGGCCTAAACCACCAACACGCAGACGTAGAGTGAGGCCTGAAGAAAATATTGCGGCTGTATCCGCCAGTGTTAGTGATGACCGTGAAATGTCGATTCGCCGCCGTTCGCAGCAATTGGGCCTCTGTTACTCCACTACAGGACAGGACAGGATTCGGGTGTAAAACCTTATAAGATACAGCTGGCAAGAATTGAAGCCACACGACCTCCCACAACGTTTTCCATTTGGTGAATGGGCGCTGGCAAAGTTGGAGGAAGATCCACATTTTTATCGAAAAATTGTGTTCAGCGACGAAGCTCATTTCTGGTTGAATGGGTACGTTAACAAGCAAAATTGCCGCATCTGGAGTGAAGACCAACCAGAATCATTGCAATAGCTACCAATGTATCTCGAAAAAATCACTGTTTGGTGTGGATTATGGGCCGGTGGCATCATCGGGCCGTACTTCTTCAAAGACGACAATGGCCGGAACGTAACTGTGAATGGCGAGCGCTACCGTGCGATGATAACAAACTTTGTTTTGCCCAAAATGGAAGAACTGGACTTGGCTGACATGTGGTTTCAACAAGACGGTGCCACATGCCACATCGCACACGAAACAATGGCCCTATTGAGAGGCGAGTTCGGTGAACAGTTTATCTCACGTTTGGGGCCCGTCAATTGGCCGCCTAGATCGTGTGATTTAACGCCGTTGGACTATTTCTTGTGGAGCCGTGTTACGGCTAATGTCTACAGGGTTAAACCAGCAACGATCGACGCACTGGAAGCCAATATTGAAGCATTTATTCGTGAGATACCGGCCGATATGTTGGAGAGAGTGTGCCAAAATTGGACCATGCGTATGGGCCATCTAAAGCGGAGCCGCGGCCAACATTTACATGAAATAATCTTTAAACATTAAATTATATCGACCGTTCTATCGACTCAAATAAAGATTTAATCGTTTTTTCAAATTTTTTGTATTCATTTTAAATCAAATCCTATACCTCTTAAAAAAATCACCCGTTATGTGTATATACAGAGATAGTAAACGGGATGAGACAGATACCTACTATAAGGATCCTTGTGTTATGCTACCCACCACTGCGAGATGCTACACCTCCGTGGCTGGGCGTATGGCTAACGTGTGTCGAATTTTAGCGAGTATACCGTATTTTGGAGAATATCACATTTCGGGCAGAGGGCGTGAGTCGAGCCTTTGTGTCCGAGAACTGCTAGAAAAACCATCATTTTTCAAAAAAGCTACGATTCCATTAGAACAAGCGACCAGGATATATAGGCTGGCCTTCGTCCCTGAAAGTAACTCAAATTCGATCACATCTGTGAAGTTTTTGCACTTAAGCATTTTAGAACATATGTTCTTTAAGTTTTGGTCAACATTTTTCTTTTTAATCATGATAATTTCGTCCGTCAGACTAAAAGCTAGCCAACCATGGACCGCTGTTTCCTGCTTTTTGGCTACTCATCAGCATGGTCTAGGTTTGGTCTCTGGACTCTGGAAGAACGAACGAAAACTACACCAGAATCGATGCATAAAACACACACTCACATAAAGAGAATTAATCCCTAAATTATAGGACATTTTGTATGGTTAAGTTTCTGATATGGTCTATTTCTTGGACAGAGATAGGAAATAAGGACGTTATAGAAACGTGCTTAAAAAATTTTTGTGAATGTTCCGGTGCAAGTAGCAACTGACGGATTCTTTTTAGTGGATCATTTGCATGCTCTTAAAGGTGACTTGTAATGTGAGGTTCTTTGAAAAGTTCGGCTCTCGGTGAGCAACACAGATTATTACTGACAAAACTTGTTGCGAATCACCT